GCCAGAAGCCTACTTGGGTATAATGAGCCCGAGGGGGCTCCTGGTTGGTCGTCTTCAACCCTGGTCATTGACTGGTATTGGTTGTTCACGTCCGACCAGGTCACTGCTAGATACCTAACCAAATTTTGTTTTAGCTGCTTTGAAACCACCGAGCTTCGTTCGATCAAACTTGAGTGAAGGCCTACATCGCCCAGTCGTCGGAAATCGGTGGTAGTTCCATTCATTCCATTTGAAAGCGAGATACGAACTCTCGCAGCATCTCGTTTTCCCTCTGCTTGATCTTGAAGACGTTGGATTTCCGTGTAGCTACTTTAATGGCACCGGTATGTGCTTTTATGAAAGAATCTACCAGCATGGCAAATGAGTCTATGGAGTTAGGAGCTAGGTTGTGATACCACATCATGGCCCCTTTCGAGAGAGTTTCCCCGAACTTCTTTAGCAAGACAGACTCGATCTCGTCGCCCTTTAGGTCATTGCCCTTCACTGCGCAAGTGTAGGCAGTGACGTGCTCATTGGGGTCGGAGGTTCTGTTGTACTTCGGAAGGTCCGACATTCTGAACTTCTTTGGAATGGGTTTCGGGGCTGTTTCTTGTCGGAACATCTTTTGTACTAACTTCTTTGAATCCATACCTTTTAGGATCGGGGTGCACCCGGAATTTGGTCAACCCTGGAGTTGTAGGGCTCGACCTTCTTGTCGTTGGCTTCTATCTTCTTCTCGCCCGATTTGATCCTCCTCGTGAGGTACTCGAGCATCTTTATGATGGTGGGGTAGGCTGCCGACCCGTTGTTGCCTGATCTCTACGGTACCTGCTCGGCTGGGGAAGCTGTCCCCGGGGCTACCGTGCTGGGAGTTTTCTAGTGACTTTGCAACTAAGCAATCGTCAGCTGTTGTGCCTGCAACATTTCAAAAATAACGTGAAGTCTAACCCCCCGTTCTTCCCTACCTGGGGTTTTCTGGGCTTCTTGTTGGTCTCCTTGGTGCACGCTCCTGTTAGTGTGGGAGCTTACATCGACGTGTTGAGCATCGCGAGAGACCGCTTCCACGGGAATTGGTTCTTGTGCGTTCTCAGGGTTTCGTGGTAGTATACCAACACCTGGAACATCCACACCATTCTTTCCATGGTTCTCAAGATTGTTGTTTACTGAGTCAGACATTTCAACCTGAAATCAAAGATCTCGGGCAAGAAAAAGTGTGAAAGATAACTTGCGTTGTGTAGCAAAACCAGCAAGAAAATAATCACTATTATCTTTGGCCTCATGGTTGGCGCCAAACTGTTTACTGTGAAAATGGTAATAACAATTAAATTTAATTTTGTGGTTCTAAAAATACGTGATCTATTTTTATGCTAGTTGTTAGGACAATAGATGTTAAATGAGATATTTGGAATCAAGGTAAGAGCTTAAAAACAAGATGTTAACCAAACCGAATCGCTGTCGATCGGGGCCTCGGGGTCGAGTCCGGTATCATGATCCAAAATCCACTAAGGGTCATGGTGGCGCCGGATACCGCTGTCAGGCAAGCCAACCAAATACTTAATTAAATTCTCGTTTTTAAACAATCTTGGAATCTAAGATTTTCCTTCAACATATATAAACAAAAAGGGTGACCGCTTCATTTTAAATTAAATAATAAGCAATTAATACAAGATATTTCAAAACCATCCCAGAACCCGGTGTCACAAGTACATGAGCAATTTCTAAGAAATAATGTAATACAACAATCGCCCGGAATACAATATTGGATAGAAATAAATACAGAAAACTGAAAGAGACTCTACTGGCTGCGAATCGCCTCGAGAAGTGCAGCTCACCTAAGTCTCCGTATCATTCGTGCTGTTACGCCTAGTAGGCCACTAGAGATGCATATGCCTGTGCAACAAAAATGCACAGAAGTGTAGTATGAGTACGAAAACAACGTTTACCTAATGAGTATCCCGTCTAATCTCGAAGAAGTAGAGACGAGATGGTCGACTTTGACACTTACTAATGGTCCAATAAGGATATACAACGAAAATGTGAGGAAAACATGGATTTATCTAGCAATTATAACTCACAAAGCAGGGAATCAGGTAACACCTTCTCAAATAATAAGGAAATTCCAAGATTTACTTTTCATTATCTTTATTAGTTTATAGCGGCCATAAAAAGGCAAGATCAACTTCAATAAGTTTCAAGGTAAGCAACGCAAGCATGCACAAATTATGCCGAGACGACGGCCCGATCCAACAGAAATAAACTGTGCACTTGACGAGGGTCGACGTCGCGCCTATAGATGCATCTATTTAATCTACCAAGGCGTTCGGCCCGTTCCAAAATAAACACACACAGACAGACAGTCAATCAAGAAGCCAACATGGAGCAATTATCCAAAGGAAGGCCAATTCTCTTTAATAGTTTAAGAAAATGGAGTTTAAATCTTTTTAGAAATTTATTTACTAATTCAATGTGATTTAAGTAGTACAAGCTAACAATAAGATTGCAGCTATTCCAAGTATAACATGATTTTGGGTCCTAGACTACCCGGACAATAGCATAATAGCATCTACACACGGACTCTCGTCACCTCGTGCGTACGTAACCCCCACAAATAGGAGCACATAACCAATTAACTCACCTATGGGGACAATTCCCTCTTACAAGGTTAGAAAGGAGACTCACCTCGCTCCGAAGATCCATAACCGGCATTCCACGCTCTTCCGAAGACTTCAATCGACGCACAATGCTCCAAAACTAGCCAATGGTTATACAAATTCATTAATATATACTTAATTACTCATTACAATCCAGTTTATAGCAATTCCTACTCCCGATCGAAAAGTTGACAAAAATGCCCACGGGCCCACGTGCCTGGATTCCGAAATTTTTCGAAGATAAACTTTACCCGTAACCTCACGTTTCTCTCAATTTTATATCTAAAATCATGGTCAAAATTCAAGAATATCAAATTTCTAGGTCTTCCTCAAAACCCCAAATTTCCACTAATTTCCATGTTAAAATCCATAAATAATTGATGTATTTAACCCAAAATAGGTGGGGATAACTTACCTTGACATTGATGACGAAAATCCCCTCTTGAAGCTCTCCAAAATCGCCCATGCCAAGTGAAAAATGAAAGAAATGGGCCAAATCCCGTCTTAAAACAAGTCACTGCCCAGCACTGCCCTTCTTCGCGAACGCGGAAAAGCCCTCGCGTTCGCGAAGCACAACCTGCTTCAACCCCAAAATCTCTTCATCGCGTTCGTGACCCAACGCCCGCGTTCGCGTAGGCCAATGACTCAGGCCCAACTTTTCCTCCTACGCGTTCGCGATCTCTTCCTCACGTTCGCGTAGTAACTAGCTCGACTCCTTCGCATTCGCGACCTACACCTCGCGTTCGCGAAGGCTAAAACCAGCAGCCTTCCATCTTCCTCTTCGCGAACGCGGGACTTCCTTCGCGTTCGCGAAGAAGGAAACCAGATACCAGCAAAACAGCAGCAACTTTTAACCCAAATTCGATCCGTTAACCATACGGAATCCACCCGAAGCCCCCGGGACCCCAACCAATCATACCAACCAGTCCCATAATACATTACGGACTTGCTCGAGGCCTCAAATCATACCAAACAACGCTAAAATCATGAATCAACCTCCAATTCAAGCTTTATGAACTTTAGAATTTCAAACTTCTACTTTCGATATTTAAACCCATCAAATCACGTCCGATTAGGGGTGACAAAATGGTTCAAAGAAAACAGTTAACCACCCATATTATCCGCTAAAAAATTGGTCGGATGATGAATTTTTCAAAAACGGGTCAAATATGGATAAGAACCATATTATCTATTTAGAAAATGGATAACCAATGAGTAACCAATGGATAATCAATGAGTCTAACTTTTATATTTGTAAAACCTTAAATTGGGAGTTCCTCAAGTTAAGGAAACTAAAACTCGCAAAAGTAATCATATACAAGAAGTCATGGATAATATGGGTACCGGTTAACCCATTTTTTATCCATATTAAATATGGAACGGGTCGGATAATTGATCCATTTTTTCATTACCCGTTTTCGACCCGAACCATATCCGATCCGACCCGTCCATTTGCCACTCCTACGTCCGATTGACCTCAAATTTTGCACACAAGTCATATTTGATATTACGGACCTACTCCAACTTTCGGAATCGGATTCCGACCCCGATATCAAAAAGTCCACTTCCGGTCAAACTTCTCAAAAATCTTCAATTTTCTATCTTTAGCCAAATGACTCCAAAACGACCTACGGACCTCCGAATTCACTTCTGATAGCGCTCCCAACTCCAGATTCACCATACGGAGCTACTCCCAGACTCGGAATCCCAAACAGACATCGATAACACTAAAATGCACTTCAAGCCAAACTTATGAAATTTCTTCCAAAATGCCAACTTCCACAATATGCACCAAAACGCTCCCGGGTCATCCAAAACCCGATCCGGGCATACGCCCAAGTCCGAAATTATCATACGAATCTGCTGGAACCTTTCAGATCCCGATTCCGAGGTCGTTTACTCAAAAATCCAATCCTAGTTAATTCTTTCAACTTTAAGCTTCCGAAATGAGAATTCTCTTCCCAAATCAACTTCGAACTTCCCGAAATTCAATTCCGACCATGCGTACAAGTCATAACACCTGAAATAAAGTTGCTCATGACCTCAGACTGCTGAACGATGTGCTAGAGCTCAAAACGACCGGTTGGGTCGTTACATCCAGTGTTCGTCGAGGGCGGTCGATGGAGACTAACAGTTATAGTAAAATCAATGATGGCACTTTATGGCCAATAACAAACAATAAATGACGAACAATAAATAGAACACAACAAGTATAAGCAATAAATGAAGTGATGAGATAAAGAGAATATGTTAGAGAGCAGAGAGAATGTTCTTGTGTATTTAGTATTGAACAACATGTGTTTACAAAATGAAAAAGAATAGAGTTGGAGGGCAAAAATGAAACATATAAAATAAAGTTTAAGGGCCAAAATGGAACAAGGTAAAGATAGAGTCCCAAAATAAAAAATAATGTCAAATTGGATGTGCTGTATATGTATTTAAATATATAGACATCTTTGTTCTCCATCTCACCATAAAAAAACGCCTTCTATTCTGAATATTAGGGGTCCAATTAACGTTACAATCAGCATGTCTCAAGGTATAAATTCTCTCTTTTCTTACGGATTATAAGCTTTAAGCCTAAGATTACTCTACTTCTTTTAACAGATAGTAAAAGAGCAAGAGCTGTTGTTGGAGAGGATACAGAAGATAGACTCAGTCATCTACCAAGAAAGATTATAGATCATATATTGAGCTCTTGCCGGTTCAGGACGCAGCTAGAACAAGTATTCTGTCCAGAAAATGGAGATACATTTGGGCCATGCTTCCGACTTTGGTGCTGGATAAGCACTTTTGTTATAAATTAGCAGCAACATATCAATCTGTCCTCAAAGAAACTGTTGACGAGATTCTGTTACAGCATATTGGAGATATTGTGAAGTTTGATCTTGATGTTTCAGGAGTAAATTTGTCTTCATATGCAAATATTGATAGATGGATGCTCTCTGTCACCAGAAACGGTGTCAAGGAACTAACCTTTAACAAGTCAAAAATAAGTACTACTTATAAACTGCCTTCTTATATATTTAATTGTGCAATATTGACACATTTGAAACTCTTCAATTGTGTCTTCAAACCACCAACTTCTTTTCTTGGCTTTCAGAAACTTACTAACCTCTATCTGGAAAAAATAACTTTTGTGCCAACTGAAGAGTTTTGTGTTATTAAAGCCCCCATCTTGTCAGTTTGGCCTTGACTTACTGTCTTGGCACCCAATACCTGAACATCGATGCATCACAGTTGAAGTCCTTGGTTGTTCATGAGAGTCACCATCTAGAGCTAAATTGGTTTACAAACTGCAAAAATTTGGGTATACTAGCAATTTTAGGTAGGTTGGTCCATAATAAAAAATAAGTTGAGAGATCAACTCTGGAAAAGCTTCTTAGGTTGCCTACACTTCAGGTGCTTCAATTGGATTTATTTTTCGTTGAGGTAAGAAATTGATATGTTGTTTTACTTGCATATCTTGTAGGGATATTATTCATGTGATTCTAATTATTGTATTTGCTCCAAAGCTTTTGAGTGCGCACACAGTTCCTAAGGGGCTTCCTGTTGTGCTCCGCTGCGTGCGGGTTCTATCGTTAAGTATAGACTTTGGCAAATTGGATCAGACTTCCTTCACGCTCAAGCTAATTAGGGGTTCCTTTAAATTGAGCAGACATGAGATTTGGGTAAGAAGGGTATACGCGGTTATGTATATATACAAACATGAGAAGCTAAACTGACTTGGTATTCATTTGGCACCATATTTAGGTCTGTGATTTCAGCGATAATGCCGAAGCAGCTTTGAGTTATCTTGAAATGGCAGCCTGCTTGGACCGACCACTAAACAATCTTGAAAATGTGACCATGCATTGGTTTAAAGGTTCAAAAACTGAACTGCTTTTAGTGAAGCTATTATTTGCTCGTGCTCCATCTTTGGTAAGGATGTCCATTAAGCCGAAGAGAGCCATGGGTTCCAGGGAAGAAAGAGATGTCACCACAGAATTGATGCGTTTCCCTAGAGCATCTCCCAAAGCAGAGCTAATCTATTTGCCAAATGCGGATTAGGCTTTTAAGCCAGCTCATCTGTGGTTTGAGGCTAGTAAGGCATATTGATCTGTGGAGTTCCCTCAAGGCAGAGCTATTGTATTTGCCAAATGTGGAATAGATTTTTAATTTCTCATTAGAGGTGTCACTATCTGCAGATTTCTCCATTAGCCACAATTAGATGATCCTTATTTATAAGGAGTGTATATATTCAAAAGCCTTAACCCCGAGCTCGGGTGGTAAAGGCTTGAGGACAAAGTCCTTCAGGTCGCCAGTTCGAGCCCCTGCAGGGCCACTGGAGGCATTACAAACCGGCCGCGTCTTCAGGGTCCCATGGAACTAACCGTGCACCCGCCTTGAAACAACGGAACCCGGTGGGTACAGCTAGTCGGGTTCGCAAAGCGATGTCCGGAAACCACGGTTAAAAAAAAATATATATTCAAAAGCCTTGTGAGATCTAAGCAGCTGGATAACAAATGAAACTCCGTTGATAGATCCACAAACAAGGCATCAATTCTATTAATGAATCTGTCTCAGGAAGTCGTTACAATGTTTTTAACAACAAAGGGATCAACAATAAGTACATGATAACCTTGTTTGGTTCAACTAATGGTCAGATTCAAGTTGAGCTGCAACAAACAACTTTTATGGTCTTATAGCAAGATATTAATATACTATCAGATGAATACTTCATGCAAATAGTAATCAGATAAATATCCCCTGTTTGTACATTGAATTTGTTGCCTAGAGTATCTTAATTTCTTTTTTGTTCTCTTATAATCCCTTTTGGATACATATATCAAAATATTGCACGTGGACACCGTCAATTTATGCATCAGTTTGACAACATTAGGAACGAAATCCTCTTGTTTTAGAGTCTGAGCCTGTAACAACACGAAGCTGATTCTTTTTCTCCTACTCCTATCTTACTCTTTTATAGAGCTGATGCAACTATTTTTGCTTGTTGTGCCCTTCAATCAGGATAAATACTGCTCATTCTATAAATTTGTTCTTCATTAGATGTTTGGAGATTCAGTTGTATGATGCACGTGATAAGATTAGCCGTCCTTTTCTACTGTCTTTCATTTGCATTTCTAATACCTGTTTGGTAACAACCAAAGAGAGAATGGATAAGAAGAGAAAATGAAAATATTTCACTTTGGTTGTTTGGTTCATAAGAGGAAAGAAATTGAGGGATCATAAGTTTCTCTTCTGAGATTTCCATTTGAATGCTAGTGTGAACAATATTAGTAATATATTTTTGGTCAAAACTATGCCAGACCTTTTGGAAAGTGTACAGTAAAAGTTTTACAACTTTCCAACACACTCTATAAAGCTTTTTTTTTTTTTCGGTAAAATAAAATAAAATTGTTCACCCTTAATTCAGGAGACAAAAGAGCTTTTCATATTTTAATATCATCATATTATTGGTTTTGTAGGAATATAAATGCAAGAAATCATATTTGAACAGTTTCGTGTGCGAAGATTTAAACTTTAAACAGCTCTAGTTAGTTCCTAGAAAGCAAAAGGGTCATTTTCCATACTTGTCTGTTCTTTCTTTCTTCTAATTATTGATCATTTTCTATGGAATAGACGTATTAGAACTCCAATTACCACAGTTGGAGAACTTGATGGTTATTGAGCATAACTTCCGAGCTAATTTGCTTTATGAACTGCAAAAAATTGACAATATTAGTGCTCAAAGTAGATGAGGTGGTTGATAATATTTCCAAGCATTATGAGAGTATATGTTTCCCTGAGGTAAGAATTTTCCATTTCATTTCTAACTTTTGTATGTGCTCCGAAGATTTTGCGTGCAAACTCAATTCCTTTTATGCTGAACTACTTGTGGAATCTGTTGCGGAAGCCAAATGTATATAGTGTGAATGAGTCACAACTACTATACCAAAAATT